TCTATACTATCCAAATTTACTTAAATTATACCACGGAAACAGCCCCATTAGCGACAATCTTGGCCCCACAAGTAGGTATGTGAGAATTCACCTGTATAGAGCATTATTACTTCGTCACTTGACCTACTTTCAGCAGTATTGGAGTTCCATAATCATGTTCCAAAGGCATGTTGCATTTTGGCTATTCTTGCGTGAGCATCTTAAAGTTTAACCCATTAAAGCCGGTATATTTTGAAGCCGAAAATAAAAGATTCTGGCCGGCTACAAAATCGGCAGACGGAGCTACCCCGGACTCTGTCCGCATGCTGGCCGCCACCCACTGCTGATTCGGAGTGCGAGCCCCGATACAGCGTCACACTGGCGGGATGCCCGACAATGTTTATTTTTTCGGGTGTCTCATGTGTGGGACACCTGTTGTTAGTGGGTTAATGCAGATTATTTTTGATGACATAGTACCCTAATTTCTGCACATCCTCTATTTTGTTCGGTTCCAATGTATTACTTAGAAGTTAGTGAATCACATGGCAAAGAAAATTCCATTGAAAAGTCTGAAAAACAGAAGAAGAAAAGTCTGATTTACTTCAAGATGAGTAAAAAGTTTACATTAAACCCCTATAAGTTGTAGTTTACGATCTTTTCAATCTATGGTGCAAATCTGAAGTCATTCGAAGGGGGAGTAGTCACTTTTCTAAGGCGAGCAAGATTGTGTGTCTAAACATCATTGTACGGGCAAATGATAAAATCCAATCACTGAGGGCTGTAATTGTCACCTAAAGCTTCTTTAAACTATACTTTGCGATTTTCTATTTCAGTCGTACAGCTACAAGAAGCTACCTGAAGGTGATCCTACAGTCACAGGTGCCCTATTTAATGATTCTAATTAAGTAATTAAAATAACTTTTATTTTGATTTACAAGTGCTTAATGTTCTTATAATTGTATGCAAATTCTCTTTTGCAACTTATGATCCAATTCATCCAGTATTTCAAGAGTTATGCACTTCCCCATGCAGCTAGCCGACCAAGTCCAATTCAGTGTTTATTGACAATTAACATATTAATTGTTTTAATTGAATTTTAATGCCATTTTTAAATCCAAAGGGAACCAATGTATAGTTCTCTTTCTTAGCTTTCCAGCAATGCTTGGTTTAAAAAACTGGACAAGAAATAAGTAAGTTATGACTGTTTTTCCAGGCATAAATTTTCAAACTCTGGCAATGCTCACAAGACAATGGCTGATTGTCTTTTGTTTTTCCATTAAGATTCAAGGATGCAAAAAGGCTGCTTGTTTCAACGTTCCAAATGCCATAACTTTCTTGATTTTTGTCCTACATAAATACAGTTTTCTTTTTCAAGGACTACCAATAGTAGGGGAGGGAACGAATGACACCAAAGATATTGTGGGTTAAAGTATGAATAAATTACACAGAATCTGTCGCAATATTGTTTAATGCAAGTGGCTGTGACCCCCCCTAGAGGCTGCCACCTCCAAACCCCTGGCCAAGAAAAGAGAGAATCCTCCACACGTTCATGGCATGGTAGCGGGAGCATCCAACGCAGAGTCTGTACCAATGGTCTCTCCTGCCGTAAATAACTGGAGGATTCTTTGTTTTCCTTGGCAGGGGTTGGGGGTTGCAGGGGGCTGTACCCCTTGCATTTGACAATACAGTGACCGATTCTGTGTATAGTATTCATATTTTACCCTGTAATTTCCCTGGTACCTTTCATGCCCTCCCAAGATATTAGGGCCAATAATATGGGGGTTTGGGGGGTCCTGCTGCATAATTTCTACATGTATACGTACTAAAGGGTGAGAGGAATCCATTGATACCCAAATCATAGCAATTAGTTACATGAAAGTATTGTGTAAAATTACCTAAATCTGAAATAAAAAAAATAACTGAATATGCAATACCACTTCGTACAAGTCCAGATTGAAAAGTTTGTTGCGGCTATATTCTACTATCCTAAAAAAATGTGCAGGTGGGACATGGGACACGGGACAGTGACGGTGAAAGGATGACTGTAATTCAGAGTAGATAACTGGTAAATTTCACATTTCCTTGAAAACTGAAGTCACTACTAAAACTGACGATTTACCCGATTTTCAATTTCCTGATTCACGGCTGTGCATTCACAGCCCATCACTATCTAAAAACGTGGCTGAGAATTTAGGAGACTTTCTAATCTGGGTACGAGTTAATGACACCTCTCCAAGTGACTCACTTTCCTTCATAGTTACTTTAATCATGATGTAAGATTTTTGCATTTATTCCTACACATAATATCCAGATTTGATCAGAACAAAAGATATTTGCATTTATTCCTATCATTATTTGAATAGAACAAAAGCTGCACAAAAGTATCGAGGAAATCTATTTAAAATTCTACAATAGGTACTTAGGAAACCTTTACAATTTGAATAAGGGTGTAAATGCATGGTAAATAGAACGGGGATGTTAAGTGCCAAATATAAAACAGAAACATCTAACCCTTCCCTTAAATAGAAAATGAAGATCACCACAAACCAAAAAAACGGAGAAGAGAGCAAGTCAAAGCAACAAATCCGTACTTCAATTTCGCAAAAATACGTTAAAACACGCGTTGCACAAGTTACCTCTCTGTACCGATACGAAATTTCGCCGCTCTTATCACACGCCTAAAACACCGGTATATAAGGTCATTACAGCCCTCGCGTTGACCTAATTGGCCAGAAATTACAGCACTGAGGCTCCAGGCACTCACCCAGCCTTTGACGATTCCTGCAGGCTGTCATTTATCTCGTAAACATTACAGCACTCGAGGCCGCACGAGACACGAGAGCCAGCCATGATTGTAAACAACACTCTGAAGCTCACACGCTAGCTTTTTACATATTGATCCCGCGGTCTCTGGATCCGAAACGAGTTTATAGGGGAAAACAAGGGAATTAAATATAGAAATTCAATTATTTTATGAATTAGGGCGAGTCTGGGGAATGGGAAGATCGTTGTGTTTGCGCGTGGAACAGGTTGGAAATAAGGATAAGGGACAGGGACGAGTTTATATGAAAAAGGTGAATGGCGGGATGCGAAACAAGGATGGATTTTTTCCCCTTTGTATTTTTGCCATTTGAGGCTTTTTGAAAGGCGTTGGTGATAGAATGGGTATAAATGCTTCGAAATTCATTTACTGTGAAAACTTCGAGGACTGCCTTTCACCGTGATGTGAAAAAAGGAAGTAGAGACGACAATAGTGTATGGTCTTTGTCATATAATTTCTACAAGTCATGTAATTCAACTACAGTATATGGCTTTCTGCAGATTCTTAATCAACAGAGTCCATTTGCATCAAAGTAAATAAACAATGAAAAAAAACCCACCCCCATACCGTTATGTAGAAAGTACACCACAAAACATCAAAATTAAATCTTCAACGAATGTCGCGTTGCTATGGTTACCGCGTCCCGGAATATTGCTCCACGCTGCAGCAAAGAAAACTAATATTTCTGTTAATTTTACAATACATATGCAATGAGTGACGTGGCTGACTTTCCTAAATCGAGGAGTTGGGTGTGGAATGATCATCGTGGCGAGCTGGTTAAGATCAGGTGCTTAATATTCAACAAATACTTGTAATGTTACATATAAAACCATGCTATTTAGACTGTTCAATGTGTTTTATATCCATAGCATGTGGTCATGAAAACATTAGTGTCTATATGATTGCATGAAAGCATTCTTCTTTTTGCTAATATCCAAGAAACAAATATGCCGATAACACACATAATAACGTTAATGCATTTATTGTTATCATTATCATAAGTTTCTGAACATATTTGAAGTTTTTATCCTTTTCTCATTATTTCTATTATTATCCATATTTCTCTTGCTATTACCATTACCACTGTGGTGATGATGATTATTATCATTATCATTACTATTATTATTCTTATTACGATTATTTATATTATTATCATCATTATCCTTATCCTTATCATCACTATCATCATCATCGTTACTATCAGTACCGTCATTATTATGTTCATAATCATTACTATCATTGCTATTATTATTATAATTTGATCATCATCATCATCATCTTCATCATCTTCATCATCATTGTTACTGTTATTCATATCATAAATGATATTCTAATTGTTGATAAAAATATCATCATTATCATCTTCATCATTAACATTATCATTATCGCTATCATTATCGATATCATCATCATTAATATTTCTATAATGCTTTTCATCATTATTATCCTTCTTATTATCATTATTCTCTTTATCATTAAGGTTATCTTTACTGTGATCATTATCGTTGTGGTAATTGTACTGATAATCATCATCTTTTCCATCACCATCAACAAAAAATGTTATCATTATTGTTGTTTTCATTATGACATAAGCAGTAATGATAATAAAATAATACTGATCTTAAAATAAAGATTATGTTAATGAATAATAATGACAATGATGATAATCTAATGATGATGATAATAATAATGATAATAATAATGATAATGATCATAATGATAGTGATAATAATAATGATAATAATAACAGTAATAATAATGAAAATTATAATAATCATGATGATGATGATAACGATAATAATGATAATAATAATAATGATAATAATCATGCTGATGATAATAATGGTAATGGTAATAATAATGATATTAATAATAATATATATAATAATAATAATAATACGAATAATGATAATAATAATCATGGTAATAACAATAAAATGTTAATGATGATGATAACAATAAATTGATAATGATGATAATAATGATAATAATAATAATGATAATAATGATAATAATAATAATAATAATAATAATAATAATAATAATAATAATAATAATAATAATAATAATAACCATAATAATAATAACCATAATAATAATAATAACCATAATACTAATAATAACCATAATTATCATAATGATAACAACAACAACAATAATAATGATAATAATAATAACAATAGTGACAATAATGATAATAATAATCCTAACATGAATAACAGAAGCAAGGATGGCAACGATTCTGTTCGTTACGATTTCAAATTTTCAAATTTTCGAAACAGGCAAGATGGCCGACCCGCCAGTCCCTCCGCCTCTTCTTCGACTTCTAGAAGGTTCTCTTGTACTGTCGGCCATCGGAGCGTCAACAGGTCTGTACCTTATCTTGTATTTCATCTATTTTGTATATATATTTATTTTTATTCATTTATTTATTAACCTTTTTTTGCAAATGTCCCTTCGTGTTCACTTCCTTGTACATTTTTTCTCTAGCATTTTTTGTTTTGTTTTCTTTTTTGTTGCCTCTCTATAACATCCTTTTGTCTTGGTCTCTGTCGTTTCCCAAATTTATCATTCATCCTCTTCCCTTCCAGAATTTTTATTATTCTTATAACGGCAATTTGCTTCTTCCTCAATCATTTGCTTTCTATCTCTTTCTTTTCCAAAATTTATCGTCCGTTTCATAAATTTTCTCCTCCCCATTCCTAAAATTTATCATCTCTCTTTTATTTCTCATTCCTCCCTCCCCCGTTATTCTCCTTTCTTGCTATCTCCAAATTCGTTCCTTATTCTTCCCCATTCTCCTCTTTACTAATTCATCATTCTCAATCATTATCTTGAGTTCCCTGTTCCCCGATTCCTCCTCTTCTCCCGTTTCCTCCACGTCTCCTTTTTCTTTCCTTATTAACCGTTACTTAAACCCTCCCTTTATCTGTATTCCTTACTTCTTCTTAAGACCCCATCCCCCTTACACCCCAAAATACACCCCCATTCCCCCATTTTTTCCCCCTTTACCTCCATTTTCCCCAATTACCTCAAAAATGCAACCCCACTTCCTTACCTTACTCTTATCTTCCCTTCACGCTTCCCCTTACCTTAACCCTCCACCCCTTCCGCTTCTAAACCCCCCAAAGACATCCCCACTCTCTTATCCTTCTTCCCTTTTCCCTTCTTTCTTTCTTTCTTCCCCCTTACCTTAACTATCCACCCCACTTTCGTCCCCTCTCCCTTACCCCTTTTCCCTTCTTTCTTACCCCTATACCTTAAACCCTCCACCCCCTTTCCGCTTCAAAACCCACAAAGACATCCCCACTCCCTTATCCTTCTCCCCTTCTCCCCGTTTCCCTTCTTTCTTCCCCCATTATCTCAACCACCCACATCCTTTCCCCAATTTCCTTCTCCTCAGGACCCTGTTACTCTCGAAGCGCCTGGTGGAGGCCGAGTACGGGCGCCTCGACCCTGAAGAGTGGGAAAGTCTGCCCTCCGCCCACGTCACCTTCAGGGACTGCTTGAAGGTCGCCCTCCACCTCCAGGCCACGCAGACGATCTTCTCCAAGATGTTCCTCGATATTGTGCGGCTGGAGAAGGTGGGTAGGCCTATGGTGAAGGGAGGGAGGAGGTGGGATAGGCCTATGAAGGGAGGGAGGAGGTGGGATAGGCCTATGAAGGGAGGGAGGAGGTGGGATAGGCTTATGGTGTAGGGAGGGAGGCTAGGAACTGAGTGGAGGGCGGCAGGCCTATGGTGAAGGGAAAGGGGAGGTGGAATAAGCCTATAGTGAAGAAAGGGAGGCTGGGGACTGAGTGGAGGTGGGATAGGCCTATGCTGATGTTATAACCATCACCACAGTCATCACACACTACCACCATCCTCAATGATAATGATGAATTTGAAGTGAAATGACGCTTCTCATTTATATTCATCATATTTTGGTGACCATAATTATCGTGTCTCGTTAAAAGCCACACACAAATCCCCGAGGTCAGCGTCATGCTAGCCATCACCAATAGAAGTAGGCAAATCGTTCAATGTGCCGCCATCCAAAATTACTTAAGTATCTGCTCTTTTGCTACCGTTTTCTATGATCTTCCCCACCCTACCATTTTCTATAATCCCCCTCCCCGCTCTCGCACGCCGCGTGACGTCATAGGCCTTATCACCCAAATATGCGCAGAACTTCGAAAGTGACGAGACCTGTACTTATAGAGACCTTGGCCATCACCATAATTATCACACGTCACAGTCAGTTATTTAATCATTATATCTATTTAATCATTACATTTCCGATTTCAATATTACTGGTAGTCTCATTATAGCTATCACTACACATCTCATTACAAATACCGTCAAAAATAGATTATAAATCACCACACAATATTCACCAGTCAGTTCCATATTCCACCACTTCAATTCCTACCCTCTCCTCTTCCCCGTCACACCACCCTCACCACCCCCACCACCACTCCTCACCCCCTCCTCTTCCCCTCACCACTCCCTCCTCATCACCCTCACCCCCACCTCGCCTCCCCTACAGGTACAAGAACTCCTGTGGCAGTTGGTGAGGTATTTCGGAGAGCTGTTCCTGCAGGCGGACCTCATTCGGGGGATCGAACCTCCTGCAGTAGGGAACCAGAAGTCCCTGCAGATGAGGTGGGAGAGGCGGCTGTCAGCTGTCCTGGACCCCTTGGCCTCTACGTACGGCCTCCTGGTGCTCGGACACGGGCTGGAGAACCTGCACCACATGAAGGTGGGGAGGGAGTGGGATGTATATGTATGTATATAAATACTAAAGTATACATACATACATAATAGAATAATAAATATATATATTAATAAAGCTATTATATAAAATATTAATAAATAAAAATAATCACTCACTCATAAATATAATTACTATATGTAATATTACTCAAATAATATAATGAAATATATAAATACTATGTATATATATATGTAAATATATATCAACCCTCAAGAATAATAATTATATAATATTATAATATGGATATATATATGAACTATATAATAACTGTATAAATATAAATTACTCATACTATAACCTTATATATATAAATTATATATATATAGGTCTATAAATAACAATATGATGTCACCCTCAAAATATGTAATATATATATGTATATACATATACATATAGTATATGATTATATATGTAATTATATAAATGATATTCATATGTTACTAACAATAATATAAATAGTATATATATGTATAATTATATAATAGCTCATATAAGTAATAATAATGCTAACTTATTTATATTTGCACCCAAAAAACATATTTTATATATATGTAATATATATAAACTAATAATGTATAATATATAATGATAATATATATAATATAGTTACCACTACTATAATATGTAAATAATAAAATATATGCTAACATATATATATGTATATAAATTATTTACACTACCTACATATGAAAATAATAAATAATATGAATATATATATATGACATATATATAAAATATATATATATATGACTACTATACTATGTATAATATAAAAACAATATTATGCAATATACTAATATATGTATATATATTATGTAATTAATAAATACAACATTAATATATGTACTATATATATGATAATATATTTATGATTCTACACTCTCACTCACTTAAATGATATATATATTATGTATATATATAATAAGTAACTCTCACTCACTCATAGGATATAATATATGTAATATATACTACTATAAATATCATATGTAATATGTATATTTGTATATGTATAAATGAAATATGTATACTGCTATCAATGAATAATATCGGTATATTCACCCTAACCTATATAAATGAAATAGTATAATACATATATATAATATACATAAATAATATAATATATATATCTAATAATGAATATATTATATAATGTATATATAATAACATATGATACACCTATACTCAATATAATAACAGTAACTAACTATAATAAATATATATGTAACTAATATAATGCATAATATATTAAATAAATGCTATAATATTATGTAAATAATAATATTAATGTATATATAAGTATATGTATATACTCATAATACCTGTACACCTCACCCTACTACCATAAATAATGTAAAATATATATAATGTAATAAATAAATATATATATAATATATAATATAGTAATTAATATATATAATATATAGATATATAAGACCTATAACATATAATATACATATATAATCACCATCATAACCTATACATCACTATATATGTATAATAAAATACTATACACACAGTAATAACAATCATTTAAACCTCTCACAAATAACATAAATAAATTAAAAATAATATATATGTAATATAATATATAACAATATAGATATCACACATAAAACTAATATATATTATACACCCATATAATAACAACAAATATAAATATAATAAAAAAATAAACAATAATTGATTCAAACCCCCCTCCACCCAAAATAATAATAATATAATGTATAAATAATAAATATAATAGCATATAAAAAATAATACATACATCATACTATCTTACCTATGTTTTAAACCCTATAAAGTACTCACCTATAGCCACCTTCTATTACCGTGGTCGTGGCATCACTCTTTGATTTACGTAGCGATTGAACGTATTATCAATGGGTAATAGGATAGTTAGAATACTAACTAACCTAGTAGCTATACATAGTGACGCTGCTGCGTGCTGGAGGAGCTTGATCATTGCTTAGTGCTGACTGACCATGAGTTATACTCACTATATGACTTGCTAGCCTACTGAGATATATATATGTGTAAAATATATACATAATAGTACCGCGCAGTATAGAACTACATCTCACTCGCGGGCACACGGATTATATATCACTCTCATAGTGCATACGGTGATACATCTGAGCTCAGATACATCCACTAATATACATGTCCATATGTATAATACTGAGGAGCAAGGATATGAGTTACAAGCATAAGTTACTAGTTATATAATAGTAGCTCGTTATCGATAATATATATATGACAAGCGTATAGGGTAGCTATACCGTTCATAATAGATACCCTACGTTAATATATTGCCTTATTATGTGATATATGGTAATGGACAGTACATCCCCTAGTATATATAATGCCCACCGCCTCACTGTAGGTGAAGTAGTAGGGAAGATATAGTAGGTACGTAGGTTGAGGAACGGGTAATGAATTATTATATAGTATACTAAGTAGAATGGGTAATAGGAAATATATATGATACATATAAGAAAGATGGTTGTATCAAAAGATTATATGGGCTACCCTTCTAGTAGGCGATTTGACAACATTGCCATTCTAGAAATGTATTTCCCCTACTCCCTTTAGTGTCAAAGGAAAATATTTTTTCTTCGTGTCACTCACTTTGTGACATCTTTTTAAAAAAGCGTTTGACCCGATTTTCTCTTCCCATACATTCCTTCATCATCTTTCTCTCGTCATCAATTCCCTTTTCTTCTGATTTGCTTCCATTTTTCATCTCTGGCTCACCTTTCACCTTCTTTGTTTCCTTCTACTCTCACGTGCTGCTCTTTTGCTTTTTCGCCAGAGGGATATATTATTCTCATCGTTCAGTCATTCTTTCACCATTTACTGATCTCGTCCACCTTCTGGCTTTCGTTCGTTCTTATATTTAAATTTCTTTCTATATTCTTCTCGCTGTTCTCTCCCCACCTTTCCATTATGCTTAGGTTCAAGCAAGGCAAGGGGAAGCAGCTATTATCCTATCTCCTATCTTCTTATTCCTCTTCTTCTTTTCCTCCCATTTCTTCTCTCTCGCCTTCTACTGTTTAATTTTCCCTTTCGCCCCTTCTCTCTCCTGTCTTTTCTTCCTTCTCTAACCTTTTTTTTTCTTCTTTTCCACCTCTCTCAATTATTACCGTTTTCCTTTCCCCTTTTTCTTCATCTCAATATTATCACAATTCTCCTCTCCCCACTTTATCACTTCTATCACTTTTTCTTCACTCTCTTTTTATCTTCCTCCTTTTGTTAGTCCATTCCTCTCATCCCTTTATTTATATTCCCATTCTCTCTTCCACCCCCTCTCCTTATTCGCTCTCCCTTTCTCTCCATCCCCTGTCTCTTCCTCTCCTTCCATCCCTCTGTCTCCCTTGTTCTCTCTCTCTCCATCCCTTCCTTTACTCCCCCTTCTCTCTCCCTTCTCTCCACCCTCATATCATCCATTTTCCTTGCGCCCCTTGACATTATCTCCCTCCCCTCTCCCCCTCTATTCATCCAATTTTCCTGTCCCCTGATATTCTCTGTGAGAAAGGTAGAGAAGAAGTAGCAGTCATGGCGTTTCTATTTTGATGATATATTCAGTGAATATAACCGTATAAAAAACATCATTTTCCAATCCCTTTAGAAAATTGAAAAGACCAAAATGATCGACCATTATATAACAAAGCATCCGTAACTTTGGTGAAGTCATCAAAATAAAACCTTTTGTGTTTTTTTTTTTCGAAAAATTGATTGAATCAGAGCCATGACACCTCCTCGAACTGTGCTACTGATCTGGGGCCGGAATTCTCAAAAAAAACAAGTTAAGGCGCGCGCTGGAGGCCTTAGCCGTCCTGCTGGTATTTTCCCATTGTATAAAGATGCGAAAAATGCTGATTTCCGCCCCGCCGTAAACTGCTAAAGGCTGCTCTCCCCTTGCCTTGCCTTAACCTAAGGCGCCTTAACTCGCACCAATATGGCGGGTCCCTTGCTCTGTGTATGTTGTTCTGTATGTGTATGATCGCTCGGCCGTAAGTTAAGGCGCCTTCAGGAAATACGCCCCTGGCTTTCCCCATTCTCCATCTCCGTCCCCTCACCCCCCTCTTCCCCCCTCACCCCCCAGCGCGGCCGGAGCCTACACAGCTACGGCTCGCGAGACAACAGCATCTTCGAACGCCTTTACGAACTCTGCGAACTCCTCGTCTGGATCGTGTTCCGCCGCCGTGACCGTCCCGTCGTGCACGCGGAGATCACGAGGCTGTTCCGGGGCGAAGTGAACCTGGAACAGCAGCAGCAGCAGCAGCTCCAGCAGCAGCAGCAGCAGCAGCACAGCCAGGTGTCGTATCATCATCACCTGGACGATCCGCTCGAACAGAGGCCGAAGCACAGGAAGAAGGGGCCGGCGCTTTCGAGTATGGGGTTTTTTTTTTTTTTTGGGGGGGGTGAAATTTGTTTTATTTGTTGTTTTGGGTGAAATGTTTTGTTTTATTTTTTATTTTTGTTTGGGTTAAATTTGTTTTACTTGTAGTTTTGTGTGTGTGTGTTTTTTTTTTTTTTTGGGGGGGTGAAATGTTTTGTTTTATTTGTTTTTTTGTTGTTTTTTTGGGGTGAAATGTTTTATTTGTTGTTTTTTGTTGTTTATTTGTTGTTTTGTTTTTTGGGTGAAAAATTTTTTATTTGTTTTTTTGTTGTTTTTTTGGGGTGAAATTTTGTTTTATTTGTTGGATTTTTTTGTTGTTTTTTGGGTGAAATGTTTTGCTTTATTTGTTGGAGTTTTTATTGTTGTATTTGGGTGAAATGTTTTGCTTTATTTGTTGGATTTTTGTTGTTTTTTGGGTGAAATTTGTTTTATTTGTTGATTGATTATTTCATTATTATTGCTAATATTTCTACTACTACGGTTACTACTACTACAACTACTATTACCACTATTACTATTGCTATTATTATTCTTACTGTTTGTACTGGTACTAGTATTACTTCTACAACTACTATTATCACTAGTACTATTGCAATTATTAGTACTAATATTTCTACTATTACTTTTGCTACTTTTACAACTAACCTTAGTACTACTACTATTGCTATTACTACTACTACTATTTCTACAAATACTATTACTACTACTGCTACTATTGCTATTACTACTATTTCTACTACAATTACTACTATTTCTACTACAATTACTACTATTTCTACTACAATTACTATTACTATTACTACTATTGCTACTATTCCATCAACTGCTCTTGCTACCGTTGATGCAACGTGTTACTATTCTTAATATTATCATAAATCTACTGACCAACTATTTATTTTTTCGGTATAACTACATCTTACAAATAATGTAAATTACCTTTTACGTCACTATTGTTTATGCATTACTTTTTGCTTTGAAGAAATGTTTAATTATATTTTTTTCCCGCGTATGTAATGAAGCAGATGCAGTCTAGTTTATCTTTGCGCTACAAACAATTTTCTGATTACCCCCCCCCAAAAAAAAAAAAAAAGAAAGAAAGAAAAAGAAATGTGTCTTAAGTGTAAAATACATAAATAAATAACACCATGTCATAACTATTTAATTTATTCTTTTGATAAGTTTATTGTTCTTTCTGCTAATTACCCTGTCTTATTATTATTTTTTTTTGTCCACCTTTGTGTTTACAGAAGATTTAAAGATTAAAGATTTTGTTTTAATTCCATTTGTTACAATGGATATTCTTTGCTGTGGCACACTGTTTTATTTTGCCCAAATCTCCCCCTGTGTGCAAGGAGTGGCCGGGATTACCACTCACTGGCCGGGCGTGGGATTGAACGCAGGTCCGCAAGATTGATAGACCAACACCTTACCACTGCGCCAGCACATCAAACAAAGACAGGAAAGAGAGAGACAGAGAAAAAGAAAAATGAAAAAGGGAGAGGACAAACAATCACATTCCATTTTCTGTGCAGAACGTGTATCATTCCTTTTCTTCAGATAACCAATCTCTTTCAAACGGTATCTATAGTTCTCTCTCTTTTTCACCACGTATGCCTTGGTAAAGAGATTATCCTGGATATTAGAGATATTCACTCTCGTCCACACGTATTCTACGGCCATTCACTCGTTCATCCACCTTTTTCTCCATACATCCATTCTCATTCATAACTATTCTCTCATTCATACACCTTTCCTCCATATATCCATTCCCATTTATAACTATTCTGGGGCCATTTCACTCTCATTCACACCATTTCTCCATATATCTATTCTCATTCATACCTTTTCTAAACTTCTTTTCCTCTCTTTTTCCCCTCCACACATCCATTCTCTTTCATACCCATTCTGGAGTCATTCATTCTCATTCACTCTTTTTCTCCACATATCTATTCTCATTCATACCTTTTCTAAACTTTTTTTCCTTCCCTTTTCCCTCCACACATCCATTCTCTTTCATACCCATTCTGGGTCATTCACTCTCATTCACACCATTTCTCCACATATCTATTCTCTTCATACCTTTTCTAACTTTTTTCCCTTCCTTTTTCCCCTCCACACATCCATTTTCTTCCATACCCATTCTAGGGTCATTCCTTCTCATTCACACCATTTCTCCATATATCTATTCTCATTCATACCTTTTCTAAACTTTTTTCCTCTCTTTTTCCCCTCCACACATCCATTCTCTTTCATACCCATTCTAGGGCCATTCACTCTCATTCACTCTTTTTCTCCACATATCCATTCTCTTTCATACCCATTCTAGGGCCATTCATTCTCATTCACTCTTTTTCTCCATATATCCATTCTCATTCACTCTTTTTCTCCATATATCCATTCTCATTCACTCTTTTTCTCCACATATCCATTCTCATTAACATACCTTGTCTAACCTTCTTCCTCTTTTTCCTTCCCACTTACGCCTTTGTACAGAGATTGTCCAAGAGAGCTCTGGGCTGATGGTTCGAAAGGTGCCTGACATGACACTCACCCAGACGATCACGTCCTCTTCAGATGCCCTGCCTGCTCTCACCTATGATAACGAGTGAGTTTCAGTTAAGTAAATTTAACAGTTGAGTGAGTTTCGGGACTTAAACATCTAACGACTGAGTGAGTTTCGGTAAACATTCAGTTAGTATTTAAACCGACTTAACGTCCGTGAGTTTGTTAAACACTAAGTATGTTGAGTTTCCAGTTGAGTGACTTTCGGGGACTTACACAGTTTCGGGACATGAGTATTTAAACGATTGAGTGAGTTTCGGGATGTTAAGTTTGACTGAGTGAGTTTCGGGGACTTAAACATCGGTCTAACGACTGAGTGAGTTCGGGGACTTAAACATCGGTCATTTAACGTGAGTGAGTTTCGGGATAGTATTTTGAGTGAGTTTCGGGGACTTAAACATCGGTCTGTTGAGTATTTGATTGAGTGAGTTCGGGGACTTAAACATCGGTCTGTTAAGTATTTAACGATTGAGTGAGTTTCGGGACTTAACATCGGTCAGTGAGTATTTAACGATTGAGTGAGTTTCGGGGACTTAAACATCGGTCGTAACTGAGTGAGTTTCGGGACTTAAACATCGTCACGAGTGAGTTTCGGGGACTTAAACATCGGTCTGTAGTATTTAACGATTGAGTGAGTTTCGGGACTTAAACATAGTATTTAACGATTGAGTGAGTTTCGGGGACTTAAACATCGGTCAGTAAGTATTTAACGATTGAGTGAGTTTCGGGACTTTCGGTGAGTATTTCTGAGTGAGTTTCGGGGACTTAAACTCGGTCTGTTAGTATTTAACGATGAGTGAGTTTCGGGGACTTAAAAATCGGAGGTGAGTATTTAACACGTGAGTTTTCGGGGACTTAAACATCGGTCTGTTAGTATTTAACGATTGAGTGAGTTTCGGGGACTTAAACATCGGTCGTATTTAACGATTGAGTGAGTTTCGGGGACTTAAACATCGGTCAGTAAGTATTTAACGATTGAGTGAGTTGGGACTTAAACATCGGGTCTGTTAGTATTTAACGATTGAGTGAGTTTCTGGACTTAAAACATCGGTCTGTTAGTATTTAACGATTGAGTGAGTTCGGGACTTAAACATCGGTTTAAGTATTTAACGATTGAGTGAGTTTCGGGGACTTAAACATCGGTCACGTTTCGGACCATCGGTCTGTTAGTATTTAACGATTGAGTGAGTTTCGGGGACTTAAACATCGGTCTGTTAAGTATTTAACGATTGAGTGAGTTTCGGGACTTAAACATCGGTCTGTTTAGTATTTAACGATTGAGTGAGTTTCGGGGACTTAAACATCGGTCTGTTAAGTATTTAACGATTGAGTGAGTTTCGGGGACTTAAACATCGGTCTGTTAAGTATTTAACGACTGAGTGAGTTTCGGGGACTTAAACATCGGTCAGGTAAGTATTTAACGACTGAGTGAGTTTCGGGGACTTAAACATCGGTCTGTTAGTATTTAACGACTGAGTGAGTTTCGGGACTTAAACATCGGTCTGTTAAGTATTTAACGTGAGTGAGTTTCGGGACTTAAACATCGGTCTGTTAAGTATTTAACGATTGAGTGAGTTTCGGGGGACTTAAACATCGGTCTTAGTATTTAACGACTGAGTGAGTTTCGGGACTTAACATCGGTGAGTATTTAACGATTGAGTGAGTTTCGGGACTTAAACATCGGGTTAAGTATTAACGATGAGTGAGTTTCGGGACTTAAACATCGTTAGTATTTAACGATTGAGTGAGTTTCGGGGACTTTAAACATCGGTCTGTTAGTATTTAACGATTGAGTGAGTTTTCGGGACTTAAACATCGGTCTGTTAGTATTTAACGATTGAGTGAGTTTCGGGGACTTAAACATCGGTCTGTTAAGTATTTAACGATTGAGTGAGTTTCGGGGACTTAAACATCGGTCTGTTAAGTATTTAACGATTGAGTGAGTTTCGGGGACTTAAACATCGGTCTGTTAAGTATTTAACGATTGAGTGAGTTTCGGGGACTTAAACATCGGTCTGTTAAGTATTTAACGATTGAGTGAGTTTCGGGGACTTAAACATCGTCAAGTGAGTTTTTAACACGAGTATTTGAGTGAGTTTCGGGGACTTAAACATCGGTCTGTTAAGTATTTAACGATTGAGTGAGTTTCGGGGACTTAAACATCGGTTGTTAAGTATTTAACGATTGAGTGAGTTTCGGGGACTTAAACATCGGTCTGTTAAGTATTTAACGATTGAGTGAGTTTCGGGGACTTAAACATCGGTCTGTTAGTATTTAACGACTGAGTGAGTTTCGGGGACTTAAACATCGGTCAGGTTAGTATTTTTGAGTGAGTTTAAACATCGGTCTAAAGAGTTTCGGGGACTTAAACATCGGTCGTTAGTATTTAACGATTGAGTGAGTTTCGGGGACTTAAACATCGGTCTGTTAAGTATTTAACGACTGAGTGAGTTTCGGGGGACTTAAACATCGTCTGTTAAGTATTAACGACTGAGTGAGTTTCGGGGACTTAAACATCGGCAGTATTTAACGATTGAGTGAGTTTCGGGGACTTAACATCGGTAAGTATTTAACGTGAGTGAGTTTCGGGACTTAAACATCGGTCTGATTTAACGTTGAGTGAGTTTCGGGGACTTAAACATCGGTCTGTTAAGTATTTAACGACTGAGTGAGTTTCGGGGACTTAAACATCGGTCTGTTAAGTATTAACGATTGAGTGAGTTTCGGGGACTTAAACATCGGTCAGGTGAGTATTTAACGACTGAGTGAGTTTCGGGGACTTAAACATCGGTCGAGTTTTTAACGCTGAGTGAGTTTCGGGGATCGGTCTGTTAAGTATTTAACGTGAACATCGGTCTTAACGTGAGTTGAGTTTCGGGGACTTCATCGGTCAGGTGAGTATTTAACGATTGAGTGAGTTTCGGGGGACTTAAACATCGGTTCTGTTAGTATTTAACGAACTGAGTGAGTTTCGGGGACTTAAACATCGGTCGAGGACTGAGTGAGTTTCGGGGACTTAAACATCGGTGTATTTGAGTGAGTTTCGGGACTTAAACATCGGTCTGTTAGTATTTAACGACTGAGTGAGTTTCGGGGCTTAAACATCGGTTAAGTATTTAACGAGTGAGTTTCGGGGACTTAAACATCGGGTCAGTGAGTTTAACGATTGAGTGAGTTTTCGGGGACTTAAACATCGGTCAGGTTAAGTATTTAACGTTGAGTGAGTTTCGGGACTTAAACATCGGTCTGTAGTATTTAACGACTGAGTGAGTTTCGGGGACTTAAACATCGTCGTATTAACGATTGAGTGAGTTTCGGGGACTTAAACATCGGTCTAACGATGAGTGAGTTTCGGGACTTAAACATCGGTCTGTTAAGTATTTAACGATTGAGTGAGTTTCGGGACTTAAACATCGGTCTGTTTAGTATTTAAGATTGAGTGAGTTTCGGGGACTTAAACATCGGTCTGTTTAAGTATTTAACATTTGAGTGAGTTTCGGGGACTTAAACATCGTCTGTTAAGTATTTAACAGTTTGAGTTCGGGGACTTAAACATCGGTCTGTTAAGTATTTAACGGTTGAGTGAGTTTCGGGGACTTAAACATCGGTCTGTTTAGTATTTAACGACTGAGTGAGTTTCGGGGACTTAAACATCGGTCTGTTAAGTATTTAACGATTGAGTGAGTTTCGGGGACTTAAACATCGGTCTGTTAAGTATTTAACAGTTGAGTGAGTTTCGGGGACTTAAACATCGGTCTGTTAAGTATTAACGGTTGAGTGAGTTTCGGGGACTTAAACATCGGTCTGTTAAGTATTTAACTGAGTGAGTTTCGGGACTTAAACATCGGTCTGTTAAGTATTTAACGTTCGGTGATTTTTGACTTAAACTTAAACATCGGGTCTGTTAAGTATTTAACACTCTCGGACTTAAACATCGTCTGTTAGTATTTAACGATTGAGTGAGTTTCGGGGACTTAAACATCGGTTCTTTGAGTATTTAACATTGAGTGAGTTTCGGGGACTTAAACACTCGGTCGGTAAGTATTTAACGATTGAGTGAGTTTCGGGGACTTAAACATCGGTCTGTTAAGTATTTAACGACTGAGTGAGTTTCGGGGACTTAAACATCGGTCTGGTAAGTATTTAACGCTGAGTGAGTTTCGGGGACTTAAAACATCGGTCTGGAAGTAATTAACGATTGAGTGAGTTTCGGGACTTAAACATCGGTCTGTTAAGTATTTAACGACTGAGTGAGTTTCGGGACTTAAACATGAGTATTTAACGATTGAAGGACTTAAACAGTCTAAGTATTTAACAGTTTCGGGGACTTAAACATCGGTCTGTTAAGTATTTAACGATTGAGTGAGTTTCGGGGACTTAAACATCGGTCAGGTAAGTATTTAACGATTGAGTGAGTTTCGGGACTTAAACATCGTCTGGTAAGTATTTAACGACTGAGTGAGTTTCGGGACTTAAAACATCGGTCTGTTAAGTATTTAACGTGAGTAGTTTCGGGGACTTAAACATCGGTCAGGTTGAGTATTAACGATTGAGTGAGTTTCGGGGACTTAAACATCGGTCTGTTAAGTATTTAACGATTGAGTGAGTTTCGGGGACTTAAACATCGGTCTGTTAAGTATTTAACGACTGAGTGAGTTTCGGGGACTTAAACATCGGTCTGTTAAGTATTTAACGATTGAGTGAGTTTCGGGACTTAAACATCGGTCTGTTAAGTATTTTAACTTACTGAGTGAGTTTCGGGGACTTAAACATCGGTCTGTTAAGTATTTAACGACTGAGTGAGTTTCGGGGACTTAAACATCGGTCAGGTAAGTATTTAACGACTGAGTGAGTTTCGGGGACTTAAACATCGGTCAATTGAGTATTTAACAATTAGGTTAGTGATTAACCTGTAAGATTTTTTAAATTGTGAATATTATACATTGGCGTACATAGATATGAAAACAATCTCTAGATTTAGCCAAATTAGTGACATCTTGGTCTACCGATAGCATCAAAGAGTACCGAAAATGTAGAGAAATACGTCGCTATTGAACGATTCTGACATTCCTGCTCCTATGCTAGTGAAAATATACTTACTGACATTACTGCTTCTATGCTAGTGAAAATATACTTTTTAATTGTTACGTTATTTTTTTCTTTTAATATAGGGACGACATACTGAGTACTCAAGGTTTATGGCTCATCGGGGCAAAAAGGGCAGATCTGAACGAGTACTTGGAACCCGCTGTTCAAGAGATAGATCAGCTGAGTCTGCTTGACTGAAGTAATTGCTTAGTAATAGTTTTATCAACCTTGAACGAAATTACTGTATGCTTATCATTAAAACTGTTGAAGTAAATTGGTGTGTTTTACTCTCCCGTTTCCTGTTTTACTTGGAATTGATGTTGATCCAATTTTCCTGTATCGGGTCGTCCACCTGTTTGAGAATCTTCCTCTCCTGAATTTCATCTTCTTTCATTATTATAATTACAATTCCTTGTCCGTCACCGTAAAATGTGTACATTATCTCAATTTCCCTGTCAGTATTGTATTCAAACGTTTTACTATTATTTTACTTCTATTCAATAAGAATTGGTCGCCATTTTCGCTCTTATTTCAGCATCCGTTTATTCTTTATTCCTGCTGATATCTTCGCAACATAAGTTTACGTGTGGAAAGGTATCTTCACAATACAAGAGTTGTGTTGAACCGTTTTCGATTATATCTTCGTCAGAAATACATGACCGGTTAAATACTCTTGTATTGTGAAGATATTCGTTCTCATTCATACCTTTCCACATTTGTCAACATGAATGCGGTTTATACGTATACTTTTTCTACGTCATCTCGGACAATTTTGCTTTCAACAATAAGTATTGGCCTTGAAGTCCCTGTTTGATCCTAAGCTCCAAGTGTTTTATATATATCTATATATATGTGTGTGTGTGTGAGAGTGAGTGAGTGAGTGAGTGAGTGAGTGAGTGAGTGAGTGAGTGAGTGTGAGTGAGGAGTGAGTGAGTGAGTGAGTGAGTGAGTGAGTGTGTGTGTGTGTGTTTGTGTGTGTATGAGTGAGTGTGAGTGTGAGTGTGTGTGTGTATGCGAGTGTAAGTGAGTGTGTGTGTGTGTGTTCGAAACACAAGAGCTTCCAGAAAAACAGTTTTCATTCGCAAATAGTTGTTAGGTGTCATTTACCAGTTTAATTTGATATCTTTTAGTTTTTGAGTTCTATAGTTTGTTATACGGGTTGATCCCAAGCAGAGCAACAGACTTTGAAACCATAAAATCTCATTATGAATATGAAAAATAGATGAATAATACTTCCTAATTCAGGGGACAAGGCTGCCACACTATCGCTGTAGTTTGTCTATCGGAGGCTCCCATACTATTTTCCTCATTTCTGACATTACTATTTGCCTGTGCAGATATTTTGTCTTGTATCAGTGTATGTAGGTTAGCCTTTTTTTATGATAGTGTCATCAGATTTTCTTGTAAATGTATACCAAAATCTTACATGAAGCACAACTTCCTTATTATCAACTTGTCTCGTTTTCTGGCGATCTGTTACGGGTAAAGTTTATATCACACCCTTTTGTTGTACGAAATTGAAACTATACAAAAATAGCGTCAGTCTGAAAGGTAGAAATGAAACACGTATCAACTTTGCAGCTATTAATTTCAGTTTTTAATAATTTCTAGCTTAATATATGTTTTACGCCTTTTTTTTAGTACTCTTATTAATAGTTTGCGAAGGAAATGCTACAGAAAAAAGGTCTTAGAATGTTCTCTCTCGGACTCACTACACTAATAACAGATAATATTAACGAAACTGGAGTCAACCTATAGGAAGATCAAAGGACTAACGTTTTCCTGTCACGAGATTTGTGAAAGATGAGAGAGAGAGAGAGAGAGAACGCAAGGATATGCAATAGTTATACCTTTTCTAGTGTTTCCTTTATGTTTACACGATAAAATCTATGTTTACTGTACATCTTTCTTTCTTACTGTAGTGGACTGATGGCGGAAATTGGTTATAGAAAATATTTGCACAAGCGGGGTCGCATCGGCCAGAACCTTCGGGAAAGCGGCCAGTGACGTCTGAAATCGGATCATAGCATGTGTTGGTCGCAAATTTCCCTCATTTCGCTAGTCTACACATAACCGAAATCTTAACTGGACTATGGTTATCTACGAAAGCGGTTTCCCTGACGAATCTTTTCAAACTCCAATTCCGCACTTAAATATTCTATATGAACCAAATCGTTCACCACACAAGAGAGAGGCTGGGGTAGCAGTTATTTTCGGGAGCAATTACCAACATTCTCACTTGTGCCTTTGCAATATAAAGCAAGAGATTATTGCACCGTGAGAAATCGAGGCAAGGAATGGTGATTACAAGGTATGATGAGTATGTAAAAAAACAACTTTATTTTGTATTTTGCTGCATAGTAAGAGAATATTTTTTGCTGCTGGTCGTTAGCCATTAAAAAAATATTTGTATGAAATAAGATGAATAAACATACACAAATACAATAACATTTTTGTTAAGTTTATCACTAAAATGCACTGCAATAATTTTCTACTTTAAGAATATTTGAAGGGTAATCTTAAGAAGTCTGGGAATAATTTTAGCTTTGTATGAAAATCGCATGAGGCTCAAATCACAGTGATTATCAGATATATACATTAAAAATCAGAAGATTTAGCAATATTATCGCTTCCTTTTTCAGCTTTAGTAAGAGACACTATAAATTTTGCTGATGGTCGTTAGCCAGTTTTTTTTTTTTTTTTTTTTTTTTTTTTTTTTTTTTTTTTGCATTACAGATATAACAAAAAAAATACTCTTCATCGAACCTGTAAGTGTTCAGTCAACTGTAATATATTTACCCTGCTTCAAATGAACGCTACCTTAATTGATTAAAGCATAAAAGATAATGTTAAAAATATCCTTATGTGAAGCATATATGTCCACCGTATCGTGTTGGATTAATTCGAAATTCATCCGCTTATCGAGACACATACCATTCGTTGACAAATGAGACGACGATGCATCTGGCAACTCGTTGTAGGGTTGCCACCTACTCAAGTCGTGTCGCACAGGCGGTGTTGTAGTGACCATCAAAGCTTAACTAACGTGTCAAGTTATTATTTACAACTATTTAGTCAGACGTGCCGACGGAGCGGGCCGAGCGGTAAGCACTCTCCGAAGGCACGGAGGGTCTGGGATAGATATTAACCCGTGGATTAGGAGAGAGAGTACCTGTAGCCAAGGTCTATATAAGTACTTATACAGACCTTGCCTGTAGCCTGGGCCGTGCGAGCGTGACTCCCCGTGTCATCTCCCACACCTCCTTCAATGCTTTGGAAGCGGGAACAAGCAGTTAAGTGCTTTGTAATGGTGGATGCTTTTTCAATATTAGATAATACTAATTATCTTTCTAGGGATTGAGGACTGCAGTAAAAAAAAAAAAAAAAATACTACAAAAACAAAGTAAAATATTTATATTATTGTAAAAAAAAAAAAAAAAAAAAAAAAAAAAAACTACCGCGAATAGCTTGGGACCCCCTTGATGACACCTCGTTTTCTTTTGGTTTCACTACATCGTCGCATCGGCCAGAACCTTCGGCCGATAACGTCGGAAACAAGGTCAACATAAGTACTGGCCTCGTCACTTCGGAGTTCTGCGCAGCTTTGGGTGATAAGGCCTATGACGTCACCTGGAAAGAGCCGAGAGCAAGGGGGGCGGGGGGAATTAGAGCATGGTAGGGTGGAAGGGAGATAATAGAAAACGGTGGTAAATGAGCAGATACTTAAGTAATTTTAGATGTCGGCACGTTGAACGATTTGCATATTGGACAGATTTTACAGGCGATGATTATCAGCGATTGTTTATAGGCCTATATCACATTCTACGTGAATTTAGTTTTGTAATTTTCATGCTGCAGCTTAGACATGGCATAATAAAGACGTAAAATAAAAAAAGACATGGCATATGTAAACTCCAAATGTTTTTTGACGAATTTATTATAAAACAAATCATACAATAACAACAACAATAATAATAATGGCAATACATAAACATAATAACATAAATGTACATATATAAACTGCAACCAATCACTGGGTATTGTGGCTTTGCGCGCGCCGGTCAGTCAAGCCAGCGAATCCTCAGGAGAATTCTGACACAAGATTCGGCCACAGAATTTTCGACACTGCGTCGCGTGAACGAACGAATAAGCGCACAAACGGACAAGATCACCGCGCTAACTGAAAACCTTCCTAACCCGGGGATTCGTCAACGGACCAAGTACTTATACACAAACGGACAAGATCACCGCGCTAACTGAAAACCTTCCTAACCCGGGAGATTCGTCAACGGACCAAGTACTTATAGACCTTGCAACGGACCTCCCAATCGCCGTATTTCCCCTTCGCTGATTCCGCCCCCGGGACCCCGTAGTCTCAATGCAATAGCGCAAAAACAATATATTGTCACCGCTCCACTATTTCCTTATAACTACGTAATTAGTTAATTAAGGTGGAGCAGTTACTTCTCGATAGTACTTTGATCAAGTTAGAGATACTTTCCTTTTGTCTATTCTTTAGTCTTCGTTCTAGTTCTAAAATATATCAAAGAACTGTAATAAACGCTCGTGGTGGGATGGATAACGAAACACACTTATTTTCCACCACTTTAATAATGTAATAATGCTATAGATATAGAGGCAATAATATCTTAAAATATTATGGGGACCAGATAACCATATATAATAAATAATAAGAATAAATAAACCCAACGAAGTACCAGGACAAAATAAATGGGTAACTGACAAAATCTTCATTATTAACCTTCAGAGGTCCTCTCCCCAACAAAATAGGCATTGGACATGTGAGTTACAAGATATATCAATATACTTTCCCCATATCAAAATGCTATAAATGCCTAATGTATGGCCATGGGATTATCTCCTGCAAAAATGAAATAAAATGCAGGAATTGTAGTCAACTAGGCCATAAATATAAAGACTGTACAAACACCTTTTTGTTTCATCTTTGGAGGTAATCGCCCAGCTTATGATAGAACATGCCCTACACATTTAAAAGCTCAAGACATGAACAAAAACAAACAAAAAACATAACACCTAATAACTTAGAAGTAAAAAATAACTTCCACCAAAACATAACAAAACAAAACCCAAAACACACACACACACACACACACACACACAAAAATAATTACCACAGCTGAGATACACAACACTGATACAGAATATATCCAACATACAGATGACATGAACACTACACAAACAAACAAATCCAAACAGAACAT